CTGCTGCAGACGGGCTAAAATTAGCCCTGGCTGCGGTTACCCTCTGATGTTGCCTCGATCCTCTCAATATAGGACCTTTTTTTTTTTTTTTATTAAGCACTAAATCAGTAAATGGCTCATATAACGAAGTATAATGTTCTCGCCTGAAATGGTTTTAAAACATACCTTTGTAGAGCAATGGCAAAAAGAGAACTTTTAACTTAATACTCTGAGCTTTATGAGAACTCCACTGAAAGCTGCTGCCGCCGCGGTGCATGCTGGGACAGCTTTCGGTCTGGGGAATGGAAAACTTCGCTCTGATGCATGCTGGGTAAAGAGCGAGGGGCGAGAGCAACATCCGGGGCCTTTTCTGTTCACGGTCTTGTGTTCTTGGGAATTGGAAGAGTAGTAGGGCTGAGGCTGATTCATTTCACGAGCACATGAGAACGCACAAGTACACATTATTGAGACACGGCCATAGTTTTGCGCATCTAAAGATTGAACTTTCTGCCAATTCTTTGCAGAATAGCTCAGCTTCAGTGAGATATTGTGAAGAACATCTGTGTAAATCCACCAAAATTATTTATTCTTGTCCCTCTGACACAAATAAAGGCCAATTTTCCCCTTTGGCAAATTTTTAATTGTTAAACTTCTTTAGCATTTTTTAGCTGTTATTTTCCTCTCCCATTGGCTGAGGATCTTTGCTGCCCCTCCTCCTTTTACCTGGCCTGCTTATTTGGAATGCGAGTTTTTTGATTATCTTTAAGATGATGACAGCAAAGGGAGCTATACACAATGCCATACATTTTTTGTAAAAAAAAAAAAAAATCATGAAATTATAATTTCCCTCATATCACTATGCATTAATTGGGTGCATGGGAACAGCTAAACTCTGAATAAAACACATCTGAAACTTGTTGCTGTAACCTCACAAAATAGTTTTGATGCTTTTGCAAGACACTTTGCTTTCATCCTTCCAGACTGCTACAGTTCATGCAGTTGGTTTACTGCAAAATTTGAAACGATAAGCAACAAATCCGTACTTGAGGCATTATTATTGACAGCCTGGGTTTTGGTGTGTGCACTGTGGAGTCCTCTGTCATGAGTATGTCTGTGTATGAGTCCATGTTCCCATGCTTGGAGCTGAAATCAAGCCTGCTCGGCAGCAGCGGTGGTGGGAGCACTTGCTGGGAACTCTGGGTTGATATAGGAGAATCCCTGGAACTCGTCCTGGTCCAAGTTCTGAATCACCTCCTCATCAGGGGGGGTCAGCACCGGCGGGTGGCGAGTGAAAAAGCGGTCAAAGTTCTCGGCCTCCCGTCCACACTGTTAAGGAGGGCGGGGGAGAGGGGGATGGATTGGGAAGAGGAAGAGCGGGGGGATGGACAGGAATGGATGGAGCAGGTGAGGGTAGAAGGAGAGGAAAAACAAAAGAAAAAAGGAATGGAACCACGGTGTGAGATGACATCACTTGGAAATGGTTTCAAATATCAGAACAAGCAAAGTCACTGTGGTGCACTTTGATTTTAAGCACACCTCATTTTGCTTTCCTTTTTCAAATATTTGAGGCGCATCGTCAAATTTCAAACAGAAAAAGCCTCAAACATCCTGGAGCAATGCACTGCAATGAACCAGCAACCATGCATGTGTAGTGTCTAAATTTATTTGATCATTGTTGGAGCTAGAATTGCTGGGACTTTCTAGGCAAAAGCCTCAGAGCTATAAGATAATTATAAGAGGAATTGTGGGTTAATTGTAGGTTAATTAGATGTTGCAAACCAAATCAACCATCAGCTCAGATGGAAAAAGAGCACTTTGAATAACCTTAGATTATTTGACTATATATCTCCTAAAAATAAAATGCATATGTAACTGAAAAGGTTATCGCTAATTTTCTTTCTTTTCTTTTTTTTAAAAACAGTTTTTGGCAAATAAATCTTTTTTGACAGCTGCAAACAAAAATGTAGTTTGCTCCTAAGATGGGCGACCTTAACAAGCTGCTGACTCTAAAACATAGTTTTCCCATGAAAAGGTTTCATAGGGACTTCCTCCCATCTTCTTACACTGAGCTTTAATTAACACACCACTGATGCTGCATTCTCTGACATCACCCTGAGGAAAACTATAAAGTTATTAAAAACATCAAACTCCCGTAAACAGATGAAACTGAACCCGGATTCTTAGAGATTTGGGGAAATGGACAAAAGAAAATTTTTAAAAGTATTTGACCTTTGGCTCTAACTTAAAAAAAAAAAATAAAATATACCAGATACATTTTGGACAACTTAACAATCCAGGTAGAAAGCTATTCTTACAAACTTCATTTTTCATCAGAATTTCTACAGTTTCTTCCAATGTGAATCTGTCCGAGTTTTTTTCCAGCTATGTGGAGAATAGAATAATAAAGAGCTTTCCGTCCCCCACCTGTTGCTGAACACTGCCAGTCAGGGGGCTGAAAAATAACTGCTAAACTTTCCAATGTCTAAATGCAAAGACAAATTCACACTTGTTTATAGTGCCTTTCCGTTTGTTGAGATAACATGGTTCTCAAACTAGTTTTTAAGCTCCAAAGAGTGGAGAAAATAGCCCAACATAATACTAGGTAAATATCCAATAATTTTGCTGAACTAGCATTTAAAAATGTATTTTCATTTTAAGAGAATTACTTTAGTTTTAACTCTATTTTAACAATCGTATAACTTTCAGAAAGCATTAAAATGTCAACAAATATTAAACTTAGTGCAACTAAAAATAATCATGATAAAGTACTTTAGTAGAAGCATGAATAACTTCTGCAGCCCTGCTATGAATAAAAGATCATGATTCATGATCATGATTATTGTATTTTGTGTAAGTACATTATGATAGAAACATTTTAAATACCTTGATGTCACTTTGTACCTTAAACTGCTCCAAGCCTATATGAGACGGGATTTCGTAATAGTAAATAAAATAAGAAATTTAAAAACGCAAGTTTAGGTTGGAAGAGTTCATAAGAGTTATAAAAATTGGAGCTGAAACAATTTATTGATTAATCTTGATTAATCGATTATTGAAACAATTGTCAACTGATTTATTAATGGATCAAATGTTAACTGGAGTATAGAGCCTGTAAAACATGCATTTAGCTGACAGAGTAACCTACTTAGAGCAGTAATTATACTAAAATTGTAAAATTGTCTGTCAGTATGCTCCATCCAGACCTCCTCAAGAGGAAAACTTTTAGTTTCACCTGGTATCATTTTGTAAAAAGTCTTTAAGGAGCCTTTTACTATCCGATTATTAATCGAAAAAATAATCGGCAGATTAATTAATTTACAAAATAGTCGTTAGTTGCAGCCCTAATAAAAAGGTGGCAGGTTTGATGGTTTGGTGAAAGAGTTGTCATTTAAACAGACAAGTGTCTGATTCGATTCAATACATCCGATCAGATGTTTGTGAAAAAAGAATTAAAATATGGTTTCAGGTGACTTATGTCACACTTTCTTTGTAGTGCACTCCATGACAGGTATCATTTGAGACTGAACCCCAGAGCATGCAAGTAAAACATAAACACTTAGAAAACTCTGAACACTGAGAGGACAAATAAAATGTGCTGATGAGATTAGATAAGATGTAGGCATGGTGGGTGTGAACAGATGGAGAGGCAGTGGAGGAGAAAGGAACTGACAATAGATGGCAGAGAGGACAGATGAATGAAAACGGTCTCACAGCGATAACTTCAAATGAAATTGAATATGAATATGTTTGTGTCTTGGGTAAATGCATAATCCCGCCATTCAAGCTGGTCTGTTTCTTCAGACATTCAAAAGTTAAGGCGGCTCCGCATCAAGCATATTCTCCAAAGGCATTGGTTGCATTTTGAAACCAGAAATGATTTGATCAGCATAAATAATCACAAATAAACAACATGATAGGGCAGAGCTTTGATACTTTTAGTGACTTTGTCAAAAATAAAACAAATAAAAAACAAACTCCCATCACTGAAATAGGCCACCTTAAACGATCAAAGAACCAGCTTCAGATACTAAACCTCTGCCAGAAAATACTAAAGCTGTCTGTTCTTATAAATAGAAATAATAAAAGGAGAGGAGGAATAGGAGTCAGGGCAGAGGCCTGAGAGATGATGGGCATCTGAAAGACCAGATCAAACTGAAAGAAGAGACAGATACAGAGAGCGAAGAGATCAGACAGCTTCTGTCTGCACTCACACTAGATGTATATACTCTAGATTTGCCAGTGTTGCAACAGCCAGGTCCTCATGATGACCTCTACTTTAAAGAAACCTCACATGCACAAAGTTGCATGCTTATATGCAGCCGCATTAATGATCAAGCACACAGTCCACCGACCCCCCCAAAAATAACAACAACCCTGCAGGCAGAAAAAGATGCATAAAAAGCTCAACACAGGGAAATAAAAAAAAGAAACTCTCAAGCAGCAGGATAGCCCAAGGCTATGAGAGCGTCCATATGTATTTGTGTGTGTGTGAGAATTAGGTGACATCATTCTGATTACAGCTATGATCAAACCCAGCTTGTCAGAGAAAGGAAAAAAAAAGAATAAAAAGAAACTGAGTTATTTTCAAGACCTGCAGAAATTTTAAGGACGTGCACCTACTCCCTGGAGGTTCATACCAAAGCGGAAAACAAACCCCTCCCTCTGAGCTCATGCAGAGCACATCTGCACCAAACTGCAAAGCACCCATTTTGTGCATGCACAGAGATGCATCCGGTATGTTATCTTCACAATCATCATTAAACCGAAAGCTATAACCATCCCCGTCACATATCCTTCAGCATAAACATCTTTAGGTTTTGACTTACCTGGGAACAACATGGAAAGATATACAGTGTTATATAATGATGTTATTTACAGGTACAGATGTGTAGATTGTAGAATGACAAGGAGAGACCCAGCATAGAGCGGGTTGGCTGTCATAGCAGTTACCCTCCTGCTCTCTGCTCTTTTGCCTGTCTATCAATTGCACATCTTGTGTTTGATCTGCAGGTCAGACTTACAGCTCTGGGTTTGAATGGGGGTTGGACTTCCTTGTTCTCCAGTTTCTCCCAGTCCATGTAGCGGAAGAAGCTGTGCTCCCTGATATCCCTCTCCCCCTCTGGACCACAGCCCAGTCGTTTGGCTGGATGCTTCGTCATCAGCTGCACAGAAAATGAAAGAAGAGAGACACATTAGCTGCATGAAGCTCCACTTCCCCCACCCATATTCTTCATTTCTCCGGCCTAATGGATCAGTGACTTTTTCTATTGACTTTAGCTCTGTTTTCACATCTTTATTGTCTGCATGCAACCAGAATCTTGCTCACTCTCACGTGCATTGTTCCTTCACTATCTCCTTTTAGGGAATGAATTATTTATGACTGTAACTAATCTGCAGTTATTCATGTTGTACAATGAACATGTCCGTCATCAGGGGTACTGCCTAATTTCACAGTCCTATTCGTGCTTCAGCTGCTACACGGACACTGCTAACATCTATGTTAATGTCAGAGTGAATAAAGATGCACAACAGTGTAATCCTAGTTCATTACATAACCAGCACGCAAAAAACATATTAAAAAAAAATAATTTTAACTTCTAACATATGAGAGCTCCTTCAACTGTGTATTACAGGTTTTGCAGAGAGAAAATGATAGCCAATTATTTCTTTAAACCAATAGGCCTAATCTATCTATGATCAAGTATAACTTTGCAGTGTTGCTTTTTATTTATTATTTACAAGCGTATTTAAAGAAAAAAAGGCAGAAATGGGTCATAGCCATAAATGGGTCCCCTTAAGCGTGTCAGCATAGATTGTTGAACGGAAGATAAGACTCAAGCAAACACATAGTGGTTAATTGTGTAAACAGGATGTCTGAACCATATAAACAGCATCTATTTTTTATTACCACTGACTCTCATGCCCATTGTATTTCTAACTGAAAGCCTATCTGGTACTTCTTCTGCCCTTCTTTTAATTCTTTTGATGGTTCCTCCAGGCTTTGCTTGTATTTAGCTCCATCCATCTTCCCATCAACTCTGACCAACTTTTTCATCCATGCTGTAGAAAAGCATGAATGGTGCTGCCTCCATCAAAGTGTTATTTTTTTATGTTTTTATTTTTTAATACCACAAGAGTTCAGGTCTCATCGTAACATTTGGCCAACTGGTTCTAATGAGGTTTATGCACATAAAGTTCTGCAAAAAAAAAACGTAAGTTTATTATTTATTTATCTACTAGTTTGGTGACCTCTGAATGCAGTTGGTTGTAACACATTTCATTAAGAAGTATCAGAGTAGAGTCTATGTATGCAATTTTTATCTGATCTGGAACTGTTCGTTTCTACAGCCCTTTTAAATGCAGATTTACTGTTTTCCTTCTTTTCAATATAATTTTGTTGGATCTGATTATGCATTCTGTTTATTAAAAATTGCATCAGTTTCTTCGTTTCTGAAATTTTCTCCTCTTTAAAATGCTCTTCTTCTCTTAATATTTTTGCCTTGTGTTCAAAGTCATGTCCTCAATGTGTTTTAGCCACCTTAATACCTGATATTTCCCACTTATCTTATACAAATTCAAATATCATTTTTAGAATTTTACTTACAATAAATAATTGCTTACATCACTTCATTTCCGCATGTAAATTATGTATTTGGTTGATCTAGCCAACCAAATCTAAGGAAATATGTTGAGAATTTTAAGAAAGAAATGATGAAATAATTCAAAGGTGTGACACTGGAAATAACTGATTTACCTCACATGATATCCAGCTTTTTTTGTTTTGTTTTGTTTTTGGTCAGTTGGGAGACGCAATCATAAATTCTCAGATTACAACAATAATGCAATTTTTTTCAAGAGGTAAGACAATTGCAAGTGAGCATTACAGAAAAATCCATAAGGACACTTGGTCACTTTCCCAGGTTAAAGACAAAAACTGCTTTAAACTTTTATCTTCTATTTTTTTTCTGCAATATATTTATAAATATAAATGTCACATTGTGTTGTGATTTATTTATCATTTATATCTTACTAGAGAAGGCACATGTGGTGTTCAGTTTGTGTCCCGTTGTTTTGGATTTGTAAGGATGAATGATACACTCACTGATGAAGCCCATGAAGTGAGGACATCATGTTTGTAAAACTACACCAGGTCAAAAATAATAGCTGCTGCATCTCACATGATGGCATGTGTACTTAAATAAGTGGCTTTTTGAATTGAAATATGAAGACAAGAAAAAGTTTGAGAGAAAGAGTTGATAAATGATATAATCTTGAATTATATTTCTTTTTATACCATTTGGGTGGTGGCTTTATATAGGCCCATTGGGCTTCTGTCTCATTCATTTCCTCATTTATTTTCCGAATAATTGTTATGTATTTTAATTTGTGTAAAATAAACTAAAAACTAAGAAGGTTAACAACGGTGATTGTTGGAAAGAAAAATTATATTTCAATTAAATATACAAAAAAAAAATATATTATTTGAAATGTTTTCATCTGCAGTCCACAACTGAACACTTTTAGAATATTAGAAATCTTTATGCCAAGCATTTAAACTTTTATCTTAAACTATCATTTAATATTAAAAAATGTTTTATAAAATATAAACAAATTGATGGGAATGTTTTTTATATAATAAAATGTATCATTTTAAATCTAACAGATCTGAAAACTGTTTTCCATTAACATAGGACCTGGTTCGTCCTTTATTTAATTCCCACATTTTAGGTTTTAAAATGGTTATAGGGGAATAAGACTCAAAGGACCCATTCTGACCCATTTTTAGATGCTTGCTGTGGTTCTTTACTGTCAATCAAATCATTATTTTCATAATCAGTTATTTTAGATTAAGATCTACCAAAGGAGACACAGAAAGCTTCAGAGCTTACATACTTTTTATCACTAAAAAATTCACATTTATTTGTTACATTTTTTTTAGGAAAAAGAATTCAGCATCAAACAACAGCAAACATTTATAGCCTTGACTCATCGGCATCGCCTACAGTATCTCTAGTTGGGTGGAAAACAAATAAAACAAAATGAAACGGGATCATATCAAACAACGAACTGTTGATCCTTTTTCAGAACTGCTTAGGCTTTAGATTGACAAATTTTGAGGTGCTCCGGACATAAACGTCATACAAAGATTTTTTTTTGTGGATTCTAAAACAGAGGCTTAACAATAACAAAAATAAAATAAATGAAAAAAAAAAAAAACCCAGATGGAAATCAATTTAAGATTTATTTTATAGTTTTCAGAACTAAAAACTAAACACTAGAGTTAGAATCAGCAGATAAGAGAAACTGTTCATGGGAGCTGGCTAAGAAAACTTGTTTCTGCATCTCTGCATTTGTTCTCTGCGTAAACCTGAAAGTCAGCTCTACTTAAATGGAAATTACTAATAGTGTTTAAAAAGCCAGGGCCCTTCCAGTCAGATGCACAGACACTGAATGACTTAACCCCGGCTGCGCTGGAAGGAAGCGGAGGGAACCAGCAGTGGGTTGGGGTGGGGGGGAGACACAGCTGAGTTTTCATGCTCTGCTGAAGATTCCCTGTCGTAGCACTACAACCCTGTAATCATAACTAATACATAACATGCAGCCTGTGTGTGCCTGACTGCATGTGTGTGTCATAGTGAGCATTAAGTTGCTGATGAAGGACTTTCCCTTTAAGTATGAGTAATATCAGACCAGAACAAACACAGGTAAACATATAACGATGTCAGAGTTAAGCATATACTGTAATGAAGTCTGACTTAAATAAAAAAAAAGGTTTTAACCTTTCAAAATAAAAAAAAGAAATTTTTAAACAATGACATACACAAAACCCATGGTTTTCTATTTGTATTTTTTGGTTTTAAAAGCAGTTAGATCCACAATATGAGCAAAACTGCTTTAGCGAGACGAGATGATCACAGTGAAAGGACGGAACAAACGGTACGATATACCATCCATCAGGCTGGAGGTGTGTGTGTGTGTGTGTGTGGTTTTTGCTGCGGTCAGTGAAGCTTAGAGCTAGCAGATGAGACAGAGGTTTAATAGAGAGGGCCGACTCCATTTGTTGTAGTAATCAGCTCCCCCTCCCTCAACCCCCAACATCCACCAGTCCAATACAGCTGGGAGTTGTCAGAGCGTCAGTTGGTAAAACCTGATCTATTTCCAAGGAAACTGAGCAGCCACACATTTAAGCTATCAGACCATAGTAGTGCATGTGTGCTATGACTACGAAAGACATTTTCATGTACTCTTATCTCTGCTCATCGCCTTCCTTTCTTTTTTTCACGTAACGATAGAGCCTCACGTTTTCTCTCTGTGTTTGATAGGGCAGGCTTGTATGCCCAAATACTTACTCCTTTACATATGGCGACAGCTTCCTTAGACATCGACTTGGGATAGGAGACGTGATGCTCCATAATGGACTGAAACAGCTCATCCTCATCCTCACCATCGAACGGGGGCTGAAGAGAGAAGGAGAAGTTGTGGGAGGAGAAGGGACAGTATGACTTGATAAAGATAGGAGTTATGAATAGCGCCTGATAAGTTGACTGCCATGTTTAAGATGTGAAAATTTTGTATTTAAGGTTGCCAAATCTACTTCAAATGGCATTGATTTAGCAGAGACAAATCCCATGCCCTTAATGTATGTATTTCAAACAAAATCACTAGTTAATTATTGGCCCTTTTTGCAGTAGATTATAGAAGGTAGCTTGTTGCCGTCCTATAACATTTCACAAGCTGGGAGAAATCAAAGAGAGGGATCTATAATTACTAATCTAATACAATTCTTTAGGATTCAGTTTGAGGACAGGGATGGAAGAAGAAGATTCTTTAAGTGGGATTTTTTTTATATATTGAACAAACAGGTTCAGATTAATGGCTTGGTTTTTCTATACTTAATGTTAAGTTTTGTATCTTTTAATTTGAGCTTTATACATACTAGGGCGGCAACTAGCGAATATTTGGCAAATCGTTTAATCCATTGATTATTTTTTCGACTAATCGATTAACCGATTAAGCGGATAGCAAAAGGTTTCTTAAAAAATAAATTCTCCACATAGCATGTTTATTTTTGGTGACAATTTTAGTATAATTGCTGCTTACGGTGGGTTACTCTGTCAGCTAGAGGCATGTTTTAGCGTCTCTACACTCCAGTTAATGATTAATTAATTACTAAATTAGTTGACGATTATTCAAATAATCGATTAATCACAATTAAATTGAATAATTGTTTCAGTCCTAATACATGCACACATACAACAATGTTAGAATGATGACCTACATGATGTTAGAACTGTAAATATACATGTTTATATTACTATTTTTGTATGTATTTATTACTGTTTTCAAGGCTGCACTTTAAAAAATGAAATTGTCTAGAGCTGTTTTAACCAAAATTCTTTTTGTTTACAAAAATCTAATCTAATCTAGAACAAGTAATAATGCTAAGGGATTTAGTTTTAAGATTTTCTTAATAATCAGTTATTAAGAGACTTTATAGTACATATAAATATTCGTATGAATACTACCTTCTGTTTTATTTGATCTAATGCATTATTTTCAGTTAACACCAACACACTGGTTTCATAAAGCTGCAGACCAACCTGTCCTGCCAACATTTCATAAAGCAATACTCCGAAGGCCCACCAGTCCACAGATTTTCCATAAGGTTGATAGGCAATAATCTAAAATGAAACATGAACAGTTGTAAAAATTAACATTTTATAACACAATAACTCCATATATTAAAATGTAAGCTTTCTCTAAGTCTACTGACCAAACTGTGTGATTAGCAGCAATCATGCAAGCAGCACAGAGAGACAGAATACCTCAGGAGCGATGTAGTCTGGGGTTCCACAGAAGGTCTTGGTTGTGACTCCGTCAAGCATGTTTTCTTTGCACATACCAAAGTCTGCGATCTTAATGTGGCCCTCACAGTCCAGCATTACGTTATCCAGCTTCAGGTCCCTGCAGAGGTAAAGGCTCTTTAAAGGTAATTATCAACCTACAATTTGAACGGTACATTTAGGCTTCCAGCTGTTCAGGTCTGAAAAGCTCAAAAGTCTGAAATCTTTTAAGTAGGTTCTTAATCTAAAATATAAAGATCAACATAATCCAATGAGTGTTGTATATATTATAGAAGACACCATCCTCCAACCTGTATCTGATATTTTAGACCTTGCTGGTCATCTAAACGGGGACAGAGAGATGCTTACAAATACATGTCTCATGTTGTTTTAATTCAATCAATAGGTCAAATATTGACATATTAACTCCAGTTTAGTACCTTTACATAAATATTTCCCCCAAATGTTTAGATTTATGTAATTTTATTAAATAAAAAAATTCCCTTGGGCTTTTTTTTTTTTTTTAGGTAATTTTAACACAAAACTTTAAAATAAATCTTAAATGATGCATATTTATATCACAGAAACTTGAACCTTTGGAGGTTGAAAGAAAATAGGCAAACTCACAACAGCCGGTAACAACCTATAACCCCCCCTCCACTTTCTAATGTAAAGCACGGTGGGGAAAGTGTCATGACAGCTGCTTATCAAGGTGAACAATGCCGAGGCACTATTCTAGGGGTAACCAATTAAAAATCAGCAGGGTCAGAATAAAGAAAATCATCAACCAGTAAAGGTCCGGAGACATTTATAATTACAGTATGATCTGTTACTTTATACAGAATTAAACACTGAAATAAAATGAGCTTTTTATGCATCCATGTTATGCATTGAATTTTTAAATAAAAAAAAAGAAAAAGATAAAAAAAAATTCTATTTTAAAATATAAAGTTTTTTTTGAAGTAGAAAATATCAATCATTCACTTTAGCATATAGACAATTTCCTGATTCACATATTTTACAAAACACCTGAACTGAACTTTTTAAAAAAATGTTTTATGTCTTAATGAGAGAAGCAGGCTTTAGGCTGCCCCTCAAGGTTTTTAAACCTGGGTTTGAATGGAGACAAAACCATTCTCAAGCACATATCAAGGTGCTCATTTTGAGCCTGGATCCATATTTATTTTTGATTCTGTTCATGGTGGAGAATGATGCTTTCCAGCAGCAGGTTGAGCCAAACATACTCAAAATGTGCAGGGTCATCTATGAGCACGCCTTTTCACTTTTCTTTCACTAGTTCGCACTTTCCACACTTTCTTTCACTTTTTCCTCATCATCTTCTCCTTCTTTCCCATTGCCCAGCTTGCCAAAGGTTTGCGGTAATTTATAAATGTTTTAAATCAGGTTGGGTCCGGATTAGCCAGCAGGTGGGTCCGGATCCAGACCGCTAATCCGTGACCTCTGCACTATGCCATTTAAAGAGACGCATTTTAAAAACAGAATCGGCTTAAAGCTACAGGGAGATTTAATAATTAGTTGAGGTCTTTCAGTTTTTTTCAAAGCAGATCAAGCAGGAATCCAGCATCGGATATGTGCTTTCCATGTATTGACTAAGAAGTTTTATATGAAGCAGGTGAACGACATACACACACGCTTGCATGAATAAAACAAGCTAATTCTTTTACCTTACTTTAACTTGAAGTCACAGGGACATTATGGGGCTGAAAGTCTGTTATTTCTTAGTATAATCTGCTTTATTTGGTACGCTTGTGATTTAGTCAAGGAGTTTCTACATATGTTACCTGTAGATGATGCCCTTTTGATGTAGGAAAAATAAACCGATGGCTATCTCAGCAGCGTAGAACCTACAAAAAAAACACAAAGGACAAGAGAAACAACAGCGCCAATTACAGTGGGGCTAAGAGACAGTGGGTAAACAGGGAGGGTTCATTTGAGTGTTTACGTGTGTGCCTGTATAAAGGTCGGAGCTGTCTCTTTAATGCCAAAAAACTGCTGATAAGATCAACAGAAGGGGCTTGGATAGACTGACCACGCAGGCAGACATGTTTGGATGGTAATACACGTCCAGGGCTTGTTTGAAATGTGCGCATAAGAAGTGTCGGAAGACAATCTGAAGGTGTGAAGGTAAGTTAAAAGAAGCAGTCTGTTTAATGCCCGTTTATTTCAATCTGAGACATCATGCTTTTTAGTTAGACCCAAAAGGCTGAAAGATAAAGTAGGAATGTAGAATGCATTATCATGAAAGATAAAATGAACTACTGCTTAATAAATACAATTAAAGCAATATTAGACTCTGGCTTTAGAAATTTTTTTTTTTACATCATATACTCTCAAAATGGAAAAGGAAGTCCTTCTAATATAAAGTTCAAATATTTGGCCATCTGTTATAGATTTTTTACTAATCTTTTTGTACAATTTTTTTAAACTTCACCCTTTTTTATGTATAACTGTATTTAATTTGAGGAAATGACAAAAATAGTAAAATATCACATGATCAAATAACAATAAATAATAATTTAAAACCTTTTTTTTGGACTTCTCTTTAATTAACCACAATATCTAAAAATTAGGGGCTTGGGTTTGATTAAAGGTACAATGAAAGCGAAATATAACAGAAATGAACATAAGTTTGCTTGAAAGGAAAAAAACAGACACATTTTTCATCTTTTCAAAAACTCATGGAGGAAACTAGTCTGGTTAGAGAGCCAATTAAATCTGACTTTGAGACAATTAAGGAAAATCAACTGTTTTACAAACAGTTTAATTAAATGAATAAAGCACTCTGAATCACAGCAGCAATGTTTATCAATCAGACGCATCTGTGGAATCTGTAAGAACTAGAGATACGATGATGACAGCTTAACAAGCCAAATGTTTTCTAAAAAGAAGCATGTAATTTGACTAACAAACAGTGTCCTTCATTCTTGCAGAGGCGATGCGCTGCCCAGAAAAAAAAACAGACTTAATGATCACAGACAATGTGTACTTGTATCACACCTAGTTCTTGCAGAAACAGCTTATGAGACTCATTAACAATCAAGCTGCTCACCGTCTTTACTGAGGAAAAAAAAAACAAGCATAGCTGAGCTGCGGCACATCTATAACATCTGCTGAGGATCTAGATTTGACATTGATCACAGAACTGAGGTGCATTCCTGTGTACTCACACAGCATGGGGCTCTTTGAACTTTCCAACCTGCTGTATCTGATACATGAGGTCTCCACCATTTATGTACTCCATGACAAAATACAAACGGTCCTAAAGAGAGAAATAAAAGGGTCAGAAGAGCATCAGTCAATTATTTATTCCATCAGTTATTTTTTTATATCATATAGCATTTACAGTAATAAAAAGGAGTAGCAGAGAGAACTCAGATGTAAAAGGAATGTGAAATGGATGAATTATGTTAAAAGCTTTGCTTTGAAAAGCTAAGCTTTTAAATGTAACTTTAAAACCATAAATGTTCCACCATTAATAAAAGCATGGATCAAGTTTTCTCCCACAGTTTGGAGTGAAATAACCATAGACTTTTCAGTAGTATTGCACAAATAATGTATAATAGTAAATTTAGGTTATGAAATGAAAACAAGCATCCTCTTTGAATAATTCGGCTGCAAAGTTCTTAAGAGTGTTTCCAGACTGAGGACCGTCAGTCATTCTGGTGTTTACGTAAGGCCGTCCCATGTTCTTGTTAGCTATCTTTTTCCGTGCATCTGCACGTTAAGGCCTATATGTGTGGTGAGCTACAGTTTCAGACAGTCATTGAAGCTCACCTTTCTCACCCCGGTTCTTTGACAATGGCCGACGGTCATAAGAGAAAAAGTGTTTACAACAGATTGTTGACATAAGGAGCATGGAGCAACACAGGAAAGGAGCAGTGATACAGGGAGGAAGGAGGAAGGGCACAGAGGGAAAGAGGTGACTGTCTTAAATGCATCCAATCAGTCCTGAAGTGAGATCAATTTAAGAACATATTGTCTTCTATTATCTACAGAATTGCCAATATGGTTCTGTATTTCAGAAAGTCAGGCAGGAATCTGGTAGGAGCCTGCGTGTGTGTGTGTTTTTATTACATGGTGGGGACCAATTCCATAAATCTTAGCACATTGTGGGGACCGGGTGTTCTAGTGGGGACCAATGTCTGGTCCCCACGGGTACAAATGCTATTTTACACTTAGGTGTTAGGTTTACGGCTATGGTGTGAATAGAGTTTAGGTTAGGATTAGGGTTAGGTATGAACCTGTAATTGTTAGGGTTAGGGTAAGGGTCACCGTAAGGCTGTAGAAATGTTTTAGAAATGAATGGATGTCAAATGAAAGTGCCCACGAGGATAAGGAAACATAAATTGTGTGTGAGTGCACATATTTTGAACTAAATACAGAAAAGGTTGTGTGTGTGTAAAGGTCTGTACTCTATGATAAGCCCCATAAACGGGCTGAGAGCAAAAAATTAGGCTTGTGTGTCTTTGACTAAAACTTCCTTGCACATGTGCACAAGTCATGTACAGCAACTACATATGAATGTATGTACTTTATAATTGCTGATGTGTGATAATTGAGGTAATTTTATTGCCTGTGTCCTGCAGATAATTACTATTTAACTGGATTAGCATATTTACTTTAGTTATGTGTGAGTGAGTCTGTAGATTAGGTCAGCTGATTTTTTTCCATTTCTTTAAATTAAGTGACACCAAATCATTAATAACTACCTGTATTTGTTTTTTATGTGAAACTAAAAGACATGCACTAAAGGATACACATGAAACCAGCAAGCTCTGTTGACTCATCTTTAGTGTAATATGGGCTATGAATCATAAGTTGAACCCGAATTGAACATGAATTCAGGCTGTGTATTCCAGCTGGGAGCTGGTGACGGCAGGAGAGGTAGCTGCAGTAAAGACCAGAGCTTTTTCTGTGCACCCTGCAGCAGCATGCTGCTCTTACAATTGTTCCCATGAAACCTGAATATGAAGCGACCAACAACGGTAGCTCAGTTTTATCTAGTCAGTTTCTCATCAGTACATGCTCCACATGTATGAATCTGTAGATTTTTCATTCCACACTAAAGTCCTTGATGTTCCGTTTGCTTCAATTCTATAAAAGGATGACAATTTGAAGTTTGATTTTAAAGGTTTGAGCCAGACAATAAAATTGTTAATGGTTTTTTTTTTAAATGTTGACTATTTGCATGTTCTTCTTCTGTTTTGTGTTGGTTGGCAAGCAATTTCCAGAGGGGCATAACCGCCAACTACTGGAATGGAGTGTGAATCGGGATGTACAGCAAGACGGAGATGATGCGTTCTGCTCATGCGCTCTTGTTATCAGAGAACCGAGCCAGGGAAAAACCGAGCTGAGCCCACCTCTGGAACTGGTCTGCAGCTAACGCGGTCTGGTTGTGTCTAGCTCGGTTCAGTTCAGTTTGCTTTCCATTTATACACGATAAGTTATCTTACCGTAGTTACTGAGCTCGGACCGGTCTCGGTACGGTTTTTCAAGGTTAGTGTAAACGGGGTAATAGAAAAAGTTGGACCAGAAAGACTTTAACTGCAAGCTCACTAGAAAAACATATAAAAAAAGTGCATCAGACCAGAAAAGGAAGTTAACCCACAAGTCAGGAGGGACTAGAGAATTTTTGAGCGTTAAGCCTGGAATACACTGTATGATTTTTTTCGATTCTCCAGTCATGCAGGAATTTTTTGATCGGGCCGACTTTCAGCCTGATCGTGCGTTGTTTAGTGTAACGAGGGGCGATCAGCCTCTCACGACCACCTCCAGATCAGTAATCGTGAGCTCGGGAGAAAATCAAACATGTTTGAAATTCAGTCTGCCGTCATAAGATCCAGTCAGAGTGTTGGGCCGCACAGTGTGAGAACATATTGAGAGCACATTGTGAGCTGTGAACTTTTAAACCCTGCAGTGTCGTCGTCTAGTTTGAGCTGTAGCTGCGTGCAATGCTTGAAAAATATCGCACAGTGTACGCCCGGCTTTAGCCAACCAACCCACCATGGTCTGGAAGGTGGAGTGCAGCTGTGTTAAAAAAGGAGGCTTTCCGCTCAAAGCCAACACCCTCTTCTCCACCATGGTGCACTCAACGTCGTCGTCTTGGATAACCACATCCTTTTTCAGGATCTTTATGGCATACAACTCCTCTGTTCCTTTACGCTCTGCCAGCATCACCTTGAGAGAAGGAGGAGAGAAACAAAGCCAGATAGGGTGTCAATACATTCTTATATGGTTACAGCAATAAAGCATAGCGCAGGGCTTTAGCTGCTTTAATGTCATGGAAGACAAAAAGGCTGAATAAGGATTTTCAACATTGTAGTAACAGGACAAAGGGTCTGACGCTTCATTGTGCCATCTGTTTCCTTTTCCTGCCACAGTGTTTGGGTGTCTAAGCTTACAATACCCATTTTGTACCTGGTTGGACCTGGAACACAGTAAATGTAAGTGTGGTGTTAGATCACTCTACGATTTACCATTAAAAGTAAATGGATCTGAAAGAACCATAATCACAAAATCATTCTGAAATTTTGCTTAATTCATTGTTTTATGTCTACCTTAGAAATAATAAATAGCATTTTTTCTTCTGAATACCAGTTAATACAACTCAGGTACCACCAGCGGAGTGTGAACAACAGTTGATGTTTTTCATTAGATTAGTTTGATAAATTATACTAAATTGATTTTAGGATTAATAATGCCCCCAATAGAAGGTTTACTTAAAAGGAGAAAGTTTAAAACATTAATAGAAACTCTAAAAGAAGTACTCGCAAATATAAGAAAAATAATGTCATCATTCAAAAGTTACCATATTTTAATCATACGTTGGCTTTCAATGTGTTTAAATGTGACACAGCTGTCAATATTTCATGCATAGGGTGTGCGCTTTCTAAGAGAATAAAAATTGGTTTACATGAGCTGTAACAATCTGACAGTCACCAAGATTTAGTGCTTCTCTAAGATCTTTCTGTGGGGATTTTCTTTGCCCTTCAGAACATCTGGGAAGGAAAGCAAGAAGAGAAGAAACATCATACAGTAAAACAATGAGAAACAGAATGAAAGGATTTTGTAACTTTTTTCAGAAACTTCAGTAGGATCCGTTTTAGAGGTGAGCTGAGATCAAGGACAGTTGATGAATGAAAAAGTGGGATTTAAAAGTATGAAGTAGGTCAGAAAAGTCTGGCGTGAGCTGGAGGTGAGGAAAGAAGAGAATAAAAGTGGAGAGGATTATAATGTACTGTATTCTGTTACATATACAGACATTTTCCTGTTTTTTGGCTTTGCCTATGATTACCCTTTGGTTAAAAATACAGGAAAAATGTATCACGTTACTTTTTTAATGATTGCCTATCTTTGTTATGACTCATTTAAACTACAAACATGTGTTAAATAAGATAACAACTAAGAAGATGCAATATGTGTCATTGTTTAGTCCAGTTAAAAATGTTCCACCTTTAAATTTTCATGCTCGACACGAATTTTAAGTGATTAAGATTCCAAACATAGAAAATAACAGAGTATTGAATTTCCATATCCTGCGATGGACTAGTGACCTGTCCAGGCTTTACCCCGTCTCTCGCCCGTAGACAGCTAGAGATAGGCACCACCAGCACCCCCACGACCCTGCTTGGGATAAGTGTTACAAAAAATGGATGGATGGATGAGTTCCCATTAGCTACACCCTAATTATATATAATTACAAAAAAATAGAAACTTGAGATACACCACTCTTGTTGCAAGACAGTCGTGGAATAATCTAGCCACAAAAAATCAGCTCATATTCGACTGCTGTTTTCTAAGGGGTAGTTACTTGTGTAAACTTGATCAGTCTATTAACTGACTAAGACTCATTTGTAAACAAAACATTATCATTTTGTTCATTTTTTGACACCCTTTGTCACATGAATAAAAAAAAAATATAGTATCAATCTGGTCCACAGATAAAAACAAAGCAAATGTCAGACAGACCACTTTCTAACAAAATGGTTGTCGGTTCAAGCCCCTGTCATTTAGATCTTGGGCAAGACACCTTCCGATAGTGTTGGGACGGATCGGTGGCGCCTGTGTATGGCAGCCTCTCTTCTGTCAGTGAGCCCCAGCACAGCTGTGGCTACAGTGTATCTTTCCACCATCAATGTGTCTGTGAATGACTGAATGTAGTGTTTTGTTCAAGTCTCCTGACTTGAAAAACAATATATAAACACAGGCCATTCACCAAAAAATCAGGTGTCCTTTTTGCAGGGGCTTTTTGACCTTACAGTTTTTGCATATTAACTCAGACATGATTTTAAAACAGGATCCTTCTAAATTACACAAGTCATTCAGGGGTTAATATTAATGTCTTCCACAGGAGAACTAAAAAATGAGCAGCTTAGGTGTTTCTGCTTTATACATATTCAGGTATGATAATGTAGAGGGGTTGTTGGGACCAATATTCTACTTGAACTGCAGCACAAATGGATTGATACAGAAACCCATGCGTTAAGATGAGCCTGTGTGTGAATTTGCATGTCTGATAGAATTTCGCATAGAAGGCTGACAGTGCCTAAAACAATTTAACAATAAAATCTGTTGGAAAACTCTAGTAGAAACATGTGCAGATACAGTATTTGTTATTTTGGGGGACAATGTAAGGCCACTTGACCAGGAATATAGTACTTTGTGGGCACTGACAGGTACTTGCAGGGACCAGTCTACTGGTACCCATGAGAATAGGGTCAGTTAAATTTAGAGTTAGGTATGTCTTGATAATGACTATGATTAGGGTGAGAGTTAGGGTTAGGCCATGGAAATGTATAGGAAATGAATGGAAAGTCCCCATAAGAATAGTGGGACATAACACTTGTCTGTGCATGTTTTTGAATGCACTCAGCATATGGTGCAGTGGGGCTGTATGTAAATAAAAGCTCTTTAAAAATGAAACAGCAACACCAAAGGACACCATCTGGCGCAGAGTTCAGTTGCACGACTACAAGGACAAGCTTGGGGTAGGAGAACAAATGACGATGAGGAAACCAGAGAGGCATATCAAAAATGGAATACTTCAACAAGTTAAAGCTGCATGGCTCAGAGCAATGACAGGGCCCTCTCACATAGAGCAGTGTGTTACTCAAGGATAAATTCGACTACAAAGTTATGCAGAAGCTTGAGAGTACATTGTGAACTGCAGCATGTGTAAGTGGTTCATTCATGGAAAGTAATTTGGGGTCATTTGCCAGCAAGCAAAGTGAAGAATATTAGTAGACATCTGACTTTAACCTTAGATGAGCACTGTAGTTTCACTGCTGCATTTAAAGAGTGAGTTTATTCATTCAAATCATTTAATCTACCCTCTATGAAAACTGGATCAAACAACGGTGTTGTGGTACTGACCTGAGGTTGTGTATAACATTTAAACAATATATCAAATCATATACAAAAGCAACCATTCAAAATGGGCCTTCCCAGTCAAACACCAGCCAAATGCTAGCCCACTTCCCTGCAACTCCCAGCAAAATCCCCTTCAGCTTCCAGCCAAGGGAGAGACCCCCTCTTCCTGGGCATGCTTTTTTGAATGGTTACTACTGTATGCAGCTACTCTTTTCCCACTGAACCATTTTTATGTAGTAAATAGTAGATTTAAAGTTGAATTTTCAGGGGAAAAAGTGCTAAGCTAATGCAGCACATTTGGTTGAAAACAAATGCAGATGTTTGCAACTTCTAGGACATCTTTTGAATTGATTCAATGTGTCCATTAAAAGTATAATTTGCAAGAATATATTCCATGTACATAGTTAATCTTTGGGGCAGGAAGAGTCTAGAAAGTTTCAATGCTTTTAATACAATACACTATGTAAAACATTTTTTTTTAAACTTAAACAAAGAGCTCACTGTTCTCCAATAAAACTTGACAGCCACCGGATCTAAATCCCAAGAAAGTCCCTTACTGATGTAGTGGAAAGAACTCAAGTCATCGATGTTCAGGTGACAGATCAGCAACAACTGAGTGATGCTATCATGTCAACTTGGACAAAGTCTCTGAGGAATGTTTCGACAACTTTTGTATGTCACAAAAAACTGAGGTCATTCCGAAGGCAAGCTTTTCCCCAGAAAGCGGCTGTTGACTAAGGCTGCACAGTATTGGCCCATATATTTAATGTCTTATAAGCTTGCATTATACAAGATAATCAAATATTTAGCCCAGATGCTAAAGGTGACAGATTGATGAAAGCAAAAAGAAAGATAACGGTTATATACAGTCTCATGCATGATATAATCACTGTATTATTTGTTATTATTAACCAGGGCAAGATTTCTAATATGGCATAACCCTAAACAGCCAGTTGAGGAGTTCTGGCTTGATCTGGGTAAAACTAGCGTTTTGTTAAGTGTTTAAATACAGACACTTGAGCTAGTACTCCAGAAATTTCTTAACCTAACACTACACACATTTACTCATCATAGCATAGTTATATCAATACTTACTATAATGTACATCCGTTCGTCTTAAGAAGGTAACCAACAGGAATAAAATAGATTGCATTTATTCTCCTTATAGTGTGTTTTCCCTTTGCGTATACTGTATAGCTGCAGAACCCATGTGTTTTTATGTCACCGATTCAAATAAACAAGAAAGAAATGAAGGATCTTCTCTTTGGCATTTGTGGCCTTTCCTCATTGCTTGACACAAACAGGGCAGACGGCAAATTGTGTTTAGTGACCTTAGCTGAAAAGAAAGCAAGGTAAGGAGCCATTAGTCCTTTATCACAGCAGGTACTAAAAAAGTTCAGCCTCTGCAGTGTTGTTCTGGAACACAGCACGCTTGTCAGACTAATGTGAATTGCCATGGCAGCATGAAACCTTGTAATAAGAAAACTCTGACCTTATGCATTCACCTCACCCTCTCAATGTAATGTCTAATCTGGCAAAATGGCAAACATATGAGCAGTGTGACTGAAAGTATCCATATTGCAGACTAGTCTGCAAGGAAGCAGGGACAACGATTTCCAAATAGCTGAATCAATAGAAACAGCAAACATGCTAGTAGGACTGGAAGTTTATTAAGTTTACTTGCTGTAAAAAAAGTATGTCTCTAAAAAATATTAAAGGAAAAGAAATAAAACAAATAACAAAAAACTTTGTTGCAGTACTTAATTGAATCTGTGTGATTGTGAATTGTTTTGTGGTGTTGAGCCTTA